ACACACACACACACACACACACACACACACACACACACACACACACACACACACGCCAAAGGTCCTATCCCTAAGACCCTTCACGCTGAGGGCAGCCTTCATCATGTGGGTTTGAGGAGGAGAACCCAATCCATTCCACAGCTGACCTAGTGGTGCCTCTGCCTCCCCTCCCCCACCTCAGCTCACTCTGCAAGCCTGAGAGGGAAACGCTTAGTATCCAGCAGCTGAGAGCTGTCCCTGCTCTCTCAGAGCTCAGGCCTTCAAAACCCAGAAATATTTAAGCAGCAGTAGTTATGTGAGCTAGGAAACAACACACATATCTAGGCCAGGACAGGCTTCCCCAAGGCAGTGACCTGAGAGCTGAGAGTGGCGGGGGAGTCACCCCGCTGTGGGCAGGGCAGAAGAGCATTCTGCCCCATGAAGCAGCCAAAGCAGCAGCCCCCACGTGAGAAAAGACTGACTCAGGTGTCTGAGGACCCTTCCATTGTTTCCCACTGGAGTACAAGCACACATGCTTAGATAGAACTCCCCCTGGGGGTGCTTTTGCCCCAGAAAGGATCCTGTCCGCTGGATTTCATCAGCAGAGAGCTTAGGGGCAGCACACATTTGCTTCTTGTCATGCAGGTGGCTTGTATTCAGGAGAGGAAAGCTGGGCATACTAGAAGACCGACATAGGGAGGGATGTCTTTGTCCTGCATCTCAGAACTACCTCCCTCCCTGCAGCTGGATGTACCTCCCTTGTTCGCAATTCATAACTGGGGGGAAAAAGGAAAGAAAGTGTCCTCAAGACGGGGCATTTCATCAGCAATCCCTGAAAGGGGCAAACAAGTGCACAAAAATACAACTGAAATGCACGAGGGGTCCTGGGTGAGCGGATCTGTGTGAGGGCCCCACCTCAAGCTGAAGGACTTGTTCTTTGCAGACAGTTGATATCTGGTATAAACTTTTTGTCTATCTGCTTTGCTTCAAACTACTTTAAATCTGGTCTTCCATCCTTTTTGCCACTGAGTTTTAGAGCATAAACTGTCTTCTCTAAAGACACCTTGGCAGTTTTCTGTGTCCTGTAGACTCTCTAGGTCAGGGGTAGCTGTTGGAAGAACTTGCCCATGACAATATCCATGGGCGTCCTGTTTACTGATGGGCCTTTGTGGCCCTGTCTGTTCCTTGCGCTATGCTCTGGTCCCCATTTCCCCCTTTCACTATGTGCATGTTTATGCAGTAGGTTCACGTGTGTTCCCCAAACCTACCCTGTCTTACAACATTGTCTTTCTTCCTTCTTTTTGGTTTTCTTGTTCCTATTTAAGATAAAGTCTCATTACATAGCTCTGACTGGTCCAGAACTCACTATGTAGACCAGGTTGGCCTCTAACATACCAAAAGGTCTGCCTTGCCTCTGCCTCACATGTGCTGAAATTAAAGGTGTGTGCCATCCCTTCTGGCTCTTTTTATTTTATTTTTTATTTTTTTGTAGCTGTTTTAGGGACAGAGTTTTGCTATGTAGCCCAGGCTGGCCTAGTATTTGCAATGTATCCAGAGCTGACGAGCACTAGTTACATAACCCGGGCTAGTTATGTAACTCACAGTAATCCTCCTGCTTTAGGCTCCTAAATCCTGGAGTTACAGGTACACACTATCCCAGCCAGCTGTCTCATTGCATTTTTGGAATGCCATGTGTACAACTGACCCACAAGAAAAGAATGCCTACCATGCTCTCTTGTGAGCACCCAGTGGCTTGCTTCTCTGTGGGACCCAGAAAACTTCAGAAGGGTTAATTCATCCTCTCCTCTGAATCCTTGCCTCCTACATCAAAATGGATGTTCCTTTAAGCGTTCTGTTTGTTGGCTTTTGGGTTTTAGTGTTTTCATTATTTGTTTTTAGTAATTACCACCAAGGTTCAGCTCTCTCTGATGCATGAAAAGTCCATTCCTGGGCCAGTGAGGTGGCTCCGCAGGTGAGGGTGTTTGTCACCAAGCCCGATGATCTGAGTTCAATCCCTAGGACCCACATGGTGTCAGGAGACGATGGACTTGCACAAGCTGTCCTTTGATCTCCACACACTCGCTGTGGCATGTGCATTCCCCCCCCCATGGATGAATAATATAAAAAGAAAAGTCCATTCCTGCAAAAGCCACAGCGTTTCTTCTTTGTAATTCTGATAGGTACACTGGTAATAATCCCTTCCCTAAAAGCAGAAAGGCCCTCAGAAGTGTTCCTTCACTGCTGCAGTGATTCTTACTGGCCCTCGTGGGTCTCCATACCGCTGCCTGTGGTCCCCTCTGTGATCCTCCGGCACCTGAGCATTGATCTGTGTCTGGCAGCCAAGCACCATTCAGGCTCCTGCTCCCTCCCACCAAAAGATGAGTTAAGCTTCTCTCCCCTCCCTCAGGGGCCCTGCAGTGGGCTCCCCAGGATGATGGCCGGCTAAGTAGCAGCCATGCCATGACTGCCCTGCACTCCTGTGATGATGATGATGATGATGATGATGCAATGTGCTCCCCAGCACTGGTCTCTTCCTTGGCGTGGCATGGTGGTAAGGGATGACTTTTCCCTATGCTGGTCCTTCTGCCTCAGGCAATCTCATCCCACGAATTCTCTGCTACTCCAGGAAGTCCAACTCATTCTTCAAGGTATAAATCAGAACGGGGCTGACTGCTGCCCGTCCGTGGTGTGTGCTCTGTGCCGCCCCTTGGTAATGTGCGCTCTCACTCTCCGGCACACTTCCTGCATCTTACTGCATTTCTCACTTTATGTGATTGTCTTCCATGTCTCTGACGTGGAGCTCAGTGCCTGGCCTGGATGGGGCCGTGGTTGATTGTTACTAAATGTACAAGAAAGAACAGAAAGAAGTGATATGGAGGAAGGGAGCCTCTCTCATGTCCTGCTTGCTTCAGCCTTAGCTGAATGCAGATAGAGTTTGGCCAAATGCAAAACGGGCTGAAATTAAAAGCAGTGTGGCCTAGGAGAGGTGGGGCCCTGCTGAGTTAAAACTTAGGACTGAAGAGCCCTGGAAGCATCCCTTGGGGGTTGGGGAGAGCATCTTCTAGCTATAGGGATGCAGACAGTAACAGGAACCATGTGGCCGATAGGAAGCTGGCTTCCTTTGCTCTTGACTGGGATGGAGTTAGTGTGATTTTTTTTCCCCTTGAACAATGTCTAGTGTGCAGTCCACCAACCTCCAGTGTAGCAAACATGGTAGGTACCTCATGAGCCTGACGGGTGGAGCATTCAGAAGGGCCCAAGAGTTGCATGGTGGCTGCTGTGGCTCCTTCCAAAGCAGAGACCGTTCTGCTTCTCATCGCAGAAGCCCCAGCCAGCTCCTCACCCACACATCCCTAGCACAGCCCACAGCGTTCAGGGAGGATTCCCTGCCGCACAGTGATGACATTCAGCTAAGCCACAGTTTCCTTGACCCGAGGAGGGAAGCCGTGTGTGTGGTTTTGGGGTTGGGGGTGTGGATGAGCAAGCGCAGATTTTTCCCTATTGCCCAGTGGCTCTAAATTGCAACCTCTCTTTTCATTTTCCATTATGCCTCAGACCCATCTGTGCCAGAACTAGACGAATGGATTCTGTCTGGGAGGATGATCCAGACAGCTATAAATTAGAGTTTGTGTTCAGAGATTCCAAAAATGTGGCCTCGTGGTAGGGTGTCCCTGAGACTAGTCACCTCCTCCGTAGTCTGTGTGGTGGCTGCTGGTTTGGGCCCAGGGCCTCTGTCAATAGATTTTGCTTTGTGTTTGGAAACTGTCTTTCCATGAAGGCACCAGAGAGACATGGAAGCAGGGAAGCCTGTGAGGTTTGCTGGGCAGACTCATCCCAGGCAGCCCCAGGCATTTCTAGGGACAGGTCTAACCAAGGACATTGCTCCTCCCTTCCCATAGCAGCCGGGACCCCAAGGCTGGCATCTCCCTGAGGTAAGCACAGACCAAGAAGACTCTCCGTTTCCCATATTGGACATAAAAGCTAGTATGCAGTGCTCCTCAAAAGCTGTGTTTTTAAGCATTGGAGACTAATGCCTAATTAATGCAGAACCCTTAGAAGACAGAAGGGAAACGTCACCTGTAATTCCACCCTTCAAAGATAAAGAATGTTATGCCTTAGCATGATTTCATGTCACATTTCCATGTCGGCCTCCTCTTTTAAAAACTCTTTCAAAAGACGGTTGAGCCCAGCTGT